AGACTAGTGTTTTTTAAACTTTTTGAGACCATGGAACACCAAACAATAATATTTTTTTTATGCATAACACCTATGAACATTTTCTTAAAAAAAAAAATTCTTGTCAGAAAAAATCAAAGAAGTAACCAAAAAAAAAAAAAAAAAAAAAAGAGGAAAGGTCGCGACACATCTGCAAGTTGTTCACGGAACACCAGTTTAAGAAACATTTGTGTAGACAGTGCCAAATTATAAAATAAACTATTTTGAAATTAACTCGAAATAAGTTATGCAATTTGCATATCTCAAATTGCATAGCTTTTTTTGAGCTAAGGGTGCAGTGTATATGCACCCTAAGAGAAGCATACTTTTCCATTATAATCAGTAATTGCAGTGTTAACATTTCTTACCATTAGCCTTGCTAATTAAATGCCTATAATATAATATGCCATAGTATCTGTATTTTGTCTAGCCAGAAGATGGTGCAAGTGTATTATTTTTAAAGTCATTTGAACAATGTTATTTTAATGACAACTAGTATTAAGGGAATGAGCTGTTCCTGACCCTCATGGAATATAGAAGATGAGCAGTTGGAGAGGGAGAGAGGAGATGAAGTGAAAATGACTGAGTAATTTATTCTGGCATTGATCCAGTCCTCTGCTATAGATCTCCCATAAACTGAGAGATTTGATATCTAGCAATGCTATTTGTAGATTAATAGAAGTAACCAAGCTTAGATTTGTGCCATAATAGCAGCAAATTTTGTACTACATTTCTATTTAAACAGGTAATAGGCATTCTAAAACTCTGTAGGACTGCGCATTAAATTTCATACAGGGTCAGAACCCTGATGAAGCAAAAGACTGGTACATTTCTCCCTCTGCCCCCCCATGTAGTAGGGTACTCTGTTTTTCATTAAGTTTTTATATCTCAGCTGTTGCTGTGTTATATTTGTACTGATATAGAAACATAGTAATTTTTTTCTTTTGCAACTGATTGGGTAATGATGTGTGGGAAGCTTTGAAATGCAGAGATAGAGGCACTTAACTCGAGTCCACTGCAGCTTTTCCACTTGGACAGAGTGCTTGCTGTATCCATTTTAAGGTGGGTGAAACAGTAAGAAGCAGTGAACATAGAAGTTTTGACCAGTGCATTGGAATATAAAGTGCAGTGCAAATCACCAGGATATTTGAAATCCATTTTACATTAGTACTTACAAGTTTTACAGGAATACTACACAGATCTTATCAACATTGACTGTGCATCCTAGCAGTGTATATCAAAGTTCTTCTGCTTAGAGAGAGCGAGAGAGAGAGAGTGTGTCTTGTTAGTCTTTAAAGTGCTACATTGTCCTGCATTTTGCTTCAACTACCCCAGACTAACACGGCTACATTTCTATCACTATTCTCTGAAAACAGTTACATTAAATCTTATACCTGGAAGGAACCCTTAAAGTGGCACCAAAATGAGAGTGTTATATTGTCACTGATGGTTTCAAGTTAGCAATTGGTTTTGTGTTTTAAAATTTTTTTTAATTGATTCTCTACGCAGCACTTATTTCAAAATAAATTGCTATTCTGAAACGTCCCTTACTCCTCATGGAATGAGGTTTACAGGGACATCAGGCACCAGCAAACCAGGGGCACCCCCCAAAAATGAGATTTTTACGGTGTAGTATTGTTTTTATTTTGAATTACATTGGGGGGGGGGACTATAATCTTTTCAGTGCTTGGGGCCTCTAAAGGTCTTAATCCGGCCATGAGCAAACCCGTTATATTTTGAAATAGGGGTGCGCTCAAAAGACATGGAATAGCTATAGTGTAGATGTAGCTTTAGTATCCCTGGAAATACCAGAGTTATCTTATTTAGAAGTTTAGACTAAGCTATAAAATAAACAAAACATGGCTAAGTGGATACCAGATGCTGTGGCTGGGGAAAATGTGGCAAAGTGAAATAAGGGGAGAAGCCTGAAGAAAGCAGAGTGCAGCCCTAAACTGCTTCATCTTATTTTAGCCATCAAAGGCATCACTTGGTTATTATAGTGTATAGATAGCAATGTTTTGTAGGTGTTCTTTGTCATAACTTTTTCTGGCCCTTCTGGAGCCTTGTCATGATGGGAAGATATCTCCTGGCCCTGCTTTTAGTTGTGTGTATTTGGCCAATGCCTGTTAGTGTAGTTGTTAAGTTAAAGAATACGGGTATGTATGCTTATATTTGTACTCTGGGATGTAGTCTGTATCAAGTGGCCTTTGGACTAATAAAGAAATGCTGTGGAAACTGAGTTGAGGTAAACCTCAATTAAAATTATTGGATGTTCATGAGATAAGAACTTTAAATCACATTATTCTTCTGACCAGGGCTCGCCAAGCAACGGCGAGCCCCGCTTGCCAGCCGCACGGTTCTGCGCTCTGAGCATGTGCCAATCGCTCTGCACTGGCTCTTCCAGGTTGTAATCTACTTGCCTCAGGAGTCGAGCCCTGCTTATGACCATGTTTATTCTCAGCCTTTCAGCTATGTTTTACTACAGTGTTTCTTAAACTTTTCAAGACCAAGGAACACCAAACAATTCTTTTTAATTAGGAATACCAAGCATTTTTTGTTGCGGGGGGGAGGGAAGGGAAAAGGGGGTTGGGAGGAAAGTAATTGAGCGTAAAAAAAAAAAAAGTGGCCATTTTTTACCTCTGTTGTTCTCCGCGGCACACCACTGACTGCCTTGCGGCACACCGGTGTTCCCCGGAACACAATTTAAGAAACACTGATTTACTAGTTAAGGCCACTATCTCAAAACAGACTATTAGAACTGTAACCAAGTTCTGTGTTTTATGGAAGCTTTCAAGTCATATTCAGTGATCATTTTTAATTGGGGGGAGGGGCATAATGGGTTAACACAGTGAAAATATTTGAGTAAACAATGCCATGCACCCCTATGCTGTGAGATGCACTATTTCACATATTCTGAAGGATGCACAGGGTTTGGCAAATTAGTACAGGTATTTTTCAGGACCACTGGACCAGCAGTGATTGGAGAGAAAGATTATCAGTCCATGTAGATAATACTGCTACAAAACAGCATTTGATCAGGAATAGCCTCTGAATTCATTTTAGCTTTTATAAAGTTAAATAATTTCTGTTCCAGAGCAAAGAGAGAGCTTTTTTGAGACTGATTTGGAACAAGAGAGAACTAATTAGGTAACAGAAGGCAGAAACAAATGTATCTATATTTCTGCATTGCAGACTTTCTGTGATTATGAACAATGTATTACTTAACTCAGTTTCACTGTTCATATGCTTTAGGAATCATGCTTTGGGGTCTGGATCTATGGAGACTTTTGGGGAATAAATAAACTCTTTGTGCACCTTTTATAATGGCTAGATCTGTATAGCCTGCAAGTGTACTAAATCTTTGTTGCAATATTTCCACTTTTCAGAAAAGGTCCATATTGTATCCGGAAAAAATGCATCTTGTTTTATCTCAGCTGTTGAATCTATTAGCAGGCTTCCATGAATATTTCTTTACGAGTGTAATAATTTTCTTTCAGTACTCTGTAGCACAATAATGAGCAAGTTCAGTTTTCTGAGATGCATTAACATTAATAGACTAGCCAATTAGCCCATCATAAGACGGGATTTTCACGTCTCTCCTCCAGGTCTGTCTTCTCTCCTGAGCCTCCAGTCTCTCGCTCCATGTCTCTCTCTCCTCCTCCTACTGCCTCCCCCCCCGCTCTCAGAGCTCTCCTCCGCCTCCTGTTTCTCTCTTTCTCTTCTCCTTCCCCTCCTGCCTCTCACTTGGGAGACTGCGGAGCCCAAATGGCTGTTTGGGCACCGTGCTCCCTGTGCTGCATGGGGAGTGTGGAACTCGAACGGTCACTTGCGCCACTTGCTCCCACATGGCGGCCCGGCTGAGCGGTGCAGAAGTCAGCCGAGCCCCATGGCGGGGATGAAGGGGGGCGAGGCGGTGACGTACACGGCCAGGGGGCGGGACCTGGAGCCATGGTCATGCCGCACGTCACCTGTGCTGCATGGGGACCACGGCGCATAAAACGGCCGCTTGCACTGCTTGCTCCCCCGCGGCGGCCCAGCTGAGCAGCACAGAAGTCAGCCGAACTCCACGGCAGGAGGCAAATGACGTGAGTCAAGCAACAGCACTGCCCAGAGGGAACAGCCAGGGAGGCAACAGCGTCGCCCAGAGGGAACAGCCAGCATTACAGAGTCACAGACGGGCTACTATATATATGATTACAGTAAAGGGGAGCAGATTTTTATTTATTTCCTTGGATTCTTTTCCATTCACTCATTTTTTGCTTTTAACTCCCATTTCTTTACTTTCTCAGGGATCTTAACTGTACTGAGGGTATGTCTACACTGCCACCCTAGTTCGAACTAGGGTGGCTAATGTAGGCATTCGAAGTTGCAAATGAAGCCTGGGATTTAAATATCCCGGGCTTCATTTGCATCTTGCCGGGCGCCGCCATTTTTAAATCCCCGTTAGTGCGGACTCCGTGCCCGCAGCTACACGCGGCACGGAGTAGGTAGTTCGAATTAGGCTCTCTACGGGGAGTAACGGTAGTTCGAATTAGAGAGCCTAATTCGAGCTACCTACTCCGTGCCATGTGTAGCCGCGGGCACGGAGTCCGCACTAACGGGGATTTAAAAATGGCGGCGCCCGGCAAGATGCAAATGAAGCCCGGGATATTTAAATCCCGGGCTTCATTTGCAACTTCGAATGCCTACATTAGCCACCCTAGTTCGAACTAGGGTGGCAGTGTAGACATACCCTGACTGTGTGATAAGTGAGTTATAGATAACTAGACTACATCCCTCTGTCGGCAGAGGGATGCAGATTAGGCAGATCGACATTGCAAATGTGGTAGGGATTTAAATATCCCATGCCTAATTTGCATAAAAATAGCCACCGCATTTTGCCGACAACACTTTGTGAGCAAAAAGTGGCAGTCTAGAGGGGGATCTGTCGAGAAAAAAGAGCCTTTTTCAACAGATCCCTTATGCCTCCTTCAAGGCAGACAATGGAGGAAGGAAATATTGTGAAATGGTTAAAAAAGGAAGGTGAGACACAATTATCTAAAATCACAATTTTAGTGAGCTATGTATTGGTTGTCCAACTCGTGGACTATTTCAAGAGCAGGATCATTTATTGGGTGCCAGTTGTTCTCAAATACTCCATCCACAAATTGCTGCTACTTCATAATGTTTCTTCCTACTCTATACCAAGGTCAGACTCCATGGACTACTGGTTTACTGACCACAGTTTGAAAACTGTCTCTAAGCTACTCTCTGTTAACATATTTTGTATTTATCTAAATACACTCTTAACTCGCAAGTCAAGAATCATTTTTATAGTCTGCTTCTGAGGTTGTGTGGGTGGGTTTTAAAAAAAAAATCAGAAAAGGACAAGTCATACTGTAGATTTATTAATAATGTACAGACTGAGATTTTCATGAAATATCACAAATAGCTTTTGGAATGATTCACCAATATAGAAATTATCGGCAACTTCAGAGATATTGGGAATGTAAGAACAAAGATATTTCACAAGTTATGATGATTTGAGTTTAAATTGTGTTTCAGTAAAGAAACCTCTATATGTGATTGCTCATCAGTGTAATGTGAAACTTTATACCCCATTTTTGTTCCTCTACACTCATTAAGCTGAACATTTCATAGAATCATAGAACTGGAAGAGATCTCAGGAGGTCATCAAGTCCAGCCCCCTCCCCAAGGCAGGACCAATCCCAACTAAATCAACCCAGCCAGGGCTTTGTCAAGCCGAGACTTAAACGCCTCTAGGGATGGAGATTCCACCACCTCCCTAGGTAACCCATTCCAGTGCTTCACCACCGTCCTAGTGAAATAGTTTTTCCTAATATCCAACCTAAACCTCCCCCACTGTAACTTGAAATCATTGCTGCTTGTTTTGCCATCCGTCAGTACTGTCACTACTGTGAACAGCCTTTCTCTATCCTCTTCGGAACATTCCTTCAGGAAGCTGAAGGCTGCTATCAAATCCCCCCTCACTCTTCTCTTCTGCAGACTAAAACAAACCCAGTTTCCTCAGTTTCGCCTCATAGGTCATGTGCTTCAGCCCCCTAATCATTTTGGTCACCTTCCACTGGACCCTCTCCAATGTGTCCGCATCCTTTCTATCGGGGGGGCCCAGAACTGGACACAATACTCCAGGGCTACGTCTACACTGGCATGATTTTCCAGAAATGCTTTTAACGGAAAAGTTTTTCGTTAAAAGCATTTTCGGAAAAGCGCGTCTATATTGGCAGGACGCTTTTCTGGAAAAGCACTTTTTCTGGATAAGCGTCCGTGGCCAATCTAGACGTGCTTTTCCGCAAAAAAAGCCCCGATCGTCATTTTCGCGATCGGGGCTTTTTTGTGGAAAACACTGCTGTGCTGTCTACACTGGCCCTTTTCCAGAACAGTTTTCCGGAAAAAGACTTTTGCCCGAACGGGAGCAGCATAGTTTTTCCGGAAAAGCACTGATGATTTTACATTAGATCGTCAGTGCTTTTCGGGAAATTCAAGCGGCCAGTGTAGACAGCTGGCAAGTTTTTCCGGAAAAGCGGCTGATTTTCCGGAATAACTTGCCATTGTGTAGACAGCCCAGATGTGGCCTCACCAGAGCCAAATAAAGGGGAATAATCACTTCTCTGGATCTGCTGGCAATGCTTCTCCTAATGCAACCTAATATGCCATTAGCCTTCTTGGCTACAAGGGCACACTGTTGACTCACATCCAGCTTCTCATCCACTGTAATCCCCAGGTCCTTTTCTGCTGAACTGCTACTTAGCCGTTCAGTCCCCAGCCTGTAACAATGCTTGGGATTCTTTCGTCCCAAGTGCAGGACTCTGCACTTGTCTTAGTTGAACCTCATCAGATTTCTTTTGACCCAATCCTCTCATCTGTCCAGGTCACTCTGGAGGCTATCCCTGCCCTCCAGTGTATCTACTTCTCCCCCTATCTTAGTGTCATTTGCAAACTTGCTGAGGGTGCAATCCATCTCCTCATCCAGGTCATCAATAAAGATGTTGAAGAAAACCAGTCCAAGAACCGATCCTTGCGGTGCTCTGTGAGAAACCGACCGCCAACCTGACATCGAGCCACTGATCACTCTCTGTTGGATAAAAAGCTGGCTAGACTGTCGGACCAATCTTACAGTCCATTTATCCAATCCATACTCCCTTTAACTTGCTGGCAAGAATATTGTGGGAGACCGTATCAAAAGCTTTGCTAAAGTCAAGGTATATCACATCCACTGACTTTCCCATATCCACAGAGCTAGTTACCTCATCATAGAAGCTAATCAGATTTGTCAGGCTTTGTTTACAGAGTTTTGTTGATGCATAGCCACCACTGTAATTAAACTGCTGTTGCATGTCCACACTAAGCTTCTTGTGTTGATAGAGTGCATCCATAAGAGCTCATCCACAATAGCAGCACAAGAGCAGTGTACTGTGGAAAGCTATCCAATTATGCAACTAGCTGCAAGATGCTTTGGGATGGGTTTGATGTGTCTCCTGTACAGACTTCATGCTGCGGACTGCTTTGCTGGATGCCTTCTCAGCTGAGAGGAGGAAGGGAGAGAGGGAGGGGGGATTTTACTTTGACTGGTGCTTAAAGGGACAGAGAAGAGTTGATGGGGACGTGGGCTAGGCTCACTCTATTGAATTGCTGCTAGGTTCCCTCCTCTGATCACACCTCTTAACCTGAGCAGGAGCTGTATCTGCAGCACAGAACAAGTTCCAGCAATGCCCAATGGGTCAGGCTGCTTCCTTTCCCCAGACATCCATAAGAGACTACATGTGGGGGAGGAGATCTCCCACAGCGCCTCCAGTCTGTGCATGCTCTCCAGATACAGCAGTGGAAGCAGGTGGAAATTCTCCGTGTAGCTCCCTAGCCCTGTCAGTAAGGAAGGAAATCTCCAGCAGTTCAACAATCTTTGCAGGATGGGGAGGTAGCTTTCACAGAGTTCCAGGAGAAACCAACACTGGGATTCAAGTAGGGGTGTTAGCTACTGGGTCATAGAACGGTCGACTAACTGCATGAATTCTTAGTGGTTAGTCAACATTTCTGTAGTTCCTGAGGGCTGGGCCAGCAGCCAGTGCAGTCTGACCACACTTCCAGGGAACCCTCTGCCACCCTGCACAGCTGCTTTTGTATCAGAGGCAGCAATGCAGGGTGCCAGGTGGGAGCCATTCTGTGAGGGGAGCTAGTTTAAAAACGAGCTCCCTGTGCAGACCGGCTGCTTTATGCCTCATGCTGTTGCCTCTGATACAGGAGGCTGCTGCAGACGGGGAATGCAAATAGTCGACTAGATTAACTGGTAAGTCTAGGCTTATTGGTTAGTCAACTACTCACTTACATCTCTAGACTCCAGTGATCACAAACAGTGTCACAGCTGATCACATTTCTCCAGCAGGGAGAAGGGCCATTGCAATGACCATGCAGAGTGAGTGAGGGTCTGGACAGCCAGCTCTTACATAAGCTCCTTTGAGCACTAGAAGGCATACTGATCACATAGACTACTGTGCCATTTGCTAAAAGTGCCTTCTCCTCCTGCCCCATTACCTTTGGGGTACTGCTGCCCCTTCCCATGCTATTGGCTCCTGTCTTCTGCTGCCTCTCACTCACTTATCCCTCAATTTTTGCTACCCTTCTCCCTGCTTCTTTTGATATAATTTTCATACTTCCTGCTGCTGCCTCTGTCCCTGCCCTTTCACCCGTTTGCTGTTGCTTCCTCTAACTCTTTGTTCCCTCCTCCATCAATTTTCCGCTGCTTCCTCCTGGTGCTGCTACCTCCTCTGGCCATTGTTTCCTCTCGTCTGGACTGCCCTGTGATCTTATTCAGGAAGGCTGCTGGTATTCAGTGGTGGGCGGGAGGAGCTAAACTGGAATGGTCTATCCTGTGGCAAGTGGTGGATCTGGCCAGCAAAAAGGTATTTCTGTGACTACATCTCTCCCTCCTCCCCCCCACACCCTCAGGAGGAGAGGTGAGGCTGCTTGCATGGATTGCCCCCTGTGCATTCAGCAGGGAGTTCCGGCGCATATGTGGGAGGATTAAAACAAATTGGCTAACCAGCTACCCAGGGGATTTGGGGCTAGTGCCTGGCAGCACTGAGGAGAAGGTGCTGCTTTGGTCTGGAGTGCAGATGGAGTTAGGCAACTTCCCAAACCACCCCATTGCAAGGCTTGTGGTCAAGCAAACTCCATCAAGCCATATGGTACACCCACCAACACAGGCTTTTCCCTTGGGCTCCAGCTTCCCACAGCCATTCAGGGGTAGGGTTGCCAGATGGTCTTCCAAAACATACCGGAAAGCTGGTCTTTTTTGGTCGAGCAAAAAAAAAAAAAAAAAAAAAAAAAAGGAACGTAGGATAAGTGGCGATTGCAACCCTACCAGTATTGGCACTGGGAGCCTGTGATTGCGCAGAAGGCTTGCAGGAAGGGACTCCCAGACACTCCCTCTGCCCCTGCCAGGTTTCTGCACAATCACAGGCTCCCAGGGGCGATTGCGGCCCCGCCTCCCCGCCTGGGAGTCCCACCTGG